ATGATGACACTTTGCTGTAATGGTGTGCCTGTCTGCCTGCTCCCCTCCCCGGACTGCAGGTCCCTTCCTCGTGTCTGTCCCACTCACACCCAGCACAGTGCTGACACCTTCTTGGTGCTAAGTAAATGTCTTCATGAAGAACGTGTCCCTGGGACAGAGCACTGTCAACGCTTTCCCTTCGGAAAGGATGGTAAGAATGGCTTTCGAATATGTAATAGCCCTCAGGGGCACCACTTACTGTACTTCTGGATTTTCCTTGTAGCCTTGATGTTGAGCTCAGGGAACACACTAGAGCAGAGAGTCCCACCACCACTGCTCCCCTGCCTTCCCCCCCTCCCCAGCTCCCCACCAGAGACACACAGGCCCTTTGCCCCTGGGCGCAGGCACAGTTCAAAATCGGAATCACTAGCTCTCCGCGGGATGCTTGTTTTGGGTCAGATGATTGCATCCCAATGTTGACTCCGAATACTAACCCTTCAGAGTTTACTGTCTGAATGACTCCCCCCCACCCCACTCCTCTATATGTCTTCCTGTGCATCGTGCTCCGATCCCGGTGTGACCACCGGTCAAACGTATGCACAGGAGAAATCCAGTTCAGGTGGGTGCATCTCCCCGGTCAGAGGGCTGGCCAGACACTTCTGGGTGAAAGAGTAGATCTATTCATACTAGAAAACAAACAAATCTCTGCCCCAGTGTTTACTCCTCCTGGGGTTTTCCAGAGCTGCCTAAAACGTTCTCAGGGCCAAGGTGTTTTTCAGCCATTTTCTCTTAGACCTGTTGTGTTTATTTGTGTGTGACCACGTCGGTGTTAGCTTTAGAGCAAGTTATACAGAGCGATTGTAACACAGAGGGGCTCCGTGTTCTACCCTGTGACGTGGGGAGACCTTGGCGGTGGGGACAGAGGTGGAAGGGGCCGGTGGCCGCGTGGCTCCGTGCCTACATGGGGGGCGTGGCTTATTGGCGGGCGGTGACTCCGGCTCCGTTTTGACAGTAAGATAAAATCCAGGTTCTTTAGGGTGACCTTCAGGAGCTTCAGTGGTCTGTCCTAAACTGCCTTCCCCGGTGGTGGTCTCCGCAGATGGCCTCCCTGGACTGTCAGTCATCCAGGGCTCCGGAACCTTGGTCAAATGAAAACGAATTGCTCGGAATCCCCGCTCTTACGTGCCTTTGAGCAGGCCGCCTGGGGTGTGAGAAGCGCCCCCCCCCCACCGCTCACCGCGGGCAGTAGGGATTGTCTGCCCACCTCGTGACTTTCATTTTGAGGCTGATGTTTGAAACCAGCGTTGGCCCTGCCTGTGGCTTTGTCCTCTGTGTGCGGCGTGGCCCCAGTTGCTCTGGGGAAGCTCTTTTGAAAGACTGTTCGAGGGCTCCCAGCATCCCTGGTCGCCTGTGCTTTAACTTCCATCGTTCTAAACATGCTGTCAAAATTTGATGATCGTCTGACCTGCCACCCCCCACCCACCCCCAACTTTTTATTTTGGGAAAGGTTCAGATCTACAGAAACATTAACGCGTATTCTTCACAGTTCACTTGTGAGTATTCTGCCACACTCACTGCCTTTGGGGTGTGTTGGCGACAGTGACGTGGTCTCACACCCCGAGTATGTTCACGGCAGTAGCGCCGCCTGTGGGTGGGTGTTCTCCTCCTAATTCAGGTTCAGTTAGGAATCACCCTTGCACTTTGTTGTCGTGCCTTTTAGGGACCTTTGGTCTAGGATGGCTTTTTCCACCTTGCGGGGGTGGATGGTGGTATGGCTGTGGGGTGAGGGGCGTGGGGACCCAGGCCGGGACGGGCCTGGATGTCACTCCTTGGGGGTCACTCCTGGGCGTGTGGACCCAGCCCGACCAACGGCAGGGGGACTGTCCACACTGGGAGGGGTGCCGTTGTCCACGATAAATAAAGCACACATCCGGGATGTGTGTGTGGCTGTTACGTGGTGGGAAGTGTGAGTTCAGAAACAGGGACGAGGCCGAGGGAGAGGAGTCGTCTTGAAGGAGGAGGCAAGGGGATTGGAACACGAGGCGGCTGAGCTTTAAGGAACAAATTTAAATGTCCATGTCTGCTCTGAGAAACTCAGATCAACTTTTCATACATTTTTATTACTGCCCTAAAGGCTCCTTTCTATTTCTAGCCAACAATTTCAACAGTTCTGCTTTTTAAATTTTTTAAATTCTTATTTTGATTGAAGTGTAGTCAATTTATAATGTTAGTTTCAGGTGTACAGCACAGTGATTCAGTTATACATATGCATACACATAGGCTTTTTTGGGGGTCAGATTCTTTTCCATTCCAGCTCATTATAAGAAATGGAATATAGCTCCCTGTGCTATACCGTAGGTCCTCATTGTTTACCTATTTTGTATATAGTAATGTGTGTCTGTTAATCCCAAACTCCTAATCTGTCCCTCCCCCCCGCCCCCATCCCCGTGACCACAGTTTTCTGTGTCCGTGAGTCTATTCCAACATTTTTACTTTAAACAAAACCAACCCCAGCCCAGCCCCTTCCCTCGTTTATGGCAGGGTGGAGCAGTCTGCCTCATCCTCTCCTTCCTAAACCTGCAAAACGCTCTAATAGATTGCTTTCCTGTGAGACCCCCAGTTTCTTAGAAATAATTCACTTGTCAACTCCTTGGTGGTGCCCTGATTGGAGGCAGGTGTGGACGCAGGACCTAGAAAGGTGACTGTGGGCTTCTCCCCCAAACTCGGAGCCCTGGGTGAGCCTCGAGAGGGTACCCTGCCCGTGGGGGAGGGGCGCCTTCCTCCTCCCGTTGGGGAGACCTTGGGGCCGCCTCCGTTTCCCCTTTTTTGAGCATGGGTTCAACTCTTCTTTCATTTCCAAGAAATGTAACATAGTACCCTTCCAGTAGATCCCCCCACTTTGCCTAGGCGACAAACCTTGTTTTACGTTGCCTGTGACCAAAAGACCTGGTTAACACACACAGGTGTTTGTCTTGTTTACAGTGCTTCACTGTTACTTGTAAAACTTCTGGGGCTGTGTCTGTATATCCATCCTTGTTCACCTCTCAGTTCCCCGTGTTTCTAGAAGTGGAGCTTCTGGGTCAGAGGGCGCCATTTCTGCTTCCATGCTTCCTGCCAGCTTGCCTTCGTAGGTTTGCTGGTTGACATTCCCACTGGCAGCTGCATCCATGCGCCTGTCGCCCCACAGCCCCACAAAGGTGGCTGTTACGGGTATTTAATTTCTGCAAGTTTCATACGAGAATCACTGTGGTGACTTGCTTTTTTTTTTCTTTCTGCTACTAGAAAACTTGAATGATCATTTCATATTTTCATTGGCCATTTGGATTTCCTCTTTTGTGACTGTTTCTTTTTTTTTTAATTAAGGTGTTCATCTTCTTTCTATTGATATGTTACAATTCTTAATATTAAGCCTCCTCCATCTGATGAGTTAGGAAAATAGCCATTTTCCTAATTTGTATTTGTTTTCAACATTACTGTGTTTCTGAAATACAGAGTTTTTTATTCGGAAGTGGTCAAATCATTAAATCTCTTTAACGAAGAGGGCTTCTAACGTGTTCTAGAGGAGACTGAAATGTGTTGGCAAGTGCTGTGTAGCACGTCTAGGCTGTGTGTTGAGGGTGGCGTCACTGAGCATGCTTCCTCAGTGTTACCTGTGGGAGGAAGAGCCAGTCTCGTTTGTGTGTTACTCCATTCGTTCACTTACCCAGTGTTTCCCGGACGCCTGCTCTACCGATGGCATTGGGGTGGGGGGGTGCACGCAGGAATCTGCCCTGGGCCTGAGGAAGTTTTGGGGGTGATGTGCAGGGCAGATCCCCAGGAACGGGGGCATCGCCGCTTCTACCAAAAAACAGGGTCCCAGTCAGCGTTTCCTGATTGTCTGCCTATTCCCCCCCACCCCAAGGACCCTCCACTGTCGCACAGAGCACACCGAGTGGTCAGAAGGCTCTCAGTATTTCTCCTGGTCTCTGGTTGGGTACCATAAGCAAGCTCTGAAATCCAGAGTTTGAATTCTGTTTTTATTTAACCATTTTCCCAGATGTTTCCTGTGGTTTGACAGATGCACCATTTACTCGAAAGTTACACTCCTGAGATTTTGAATGTTATGGACACTGTTGCTATAGACAGTGACTCTGTCCGGGCAGGGTTTGAAAGATGACTTTCGCTTCATTTTTGGGTTGAAGATGTGTTTTTCCCCAGAACAGAAAGGCTGTCTTCATAAAGAGCTTTTACCTTCTCTGTTAACAGTTCTCACCTCTGGTTTTTAAAAGACTGGAACCAGTTCATCAGAATGTATTCCAATAAGCACCATTGCCTCCCTGGGTAGGGCTTTCTGAAAGCAACTGGACCCAGTACATGCTGGTTTTGTTTGTAAAACTCACCTGGGTCGTAAAGAGCTCAGGTAGTGGGTAGGTGAAGGTTTAAACTGGCCTCTGCCGGCTGCGGGACGCCGGGGTGTGGTGAGGAAAGGCACAGACTTGGCATCGCTGCCCCCGCGCCAGGCCCGGAGACGGACCCAGGGTTGTGTGCGGGGCCTGCAGTCCCCGCAGCCTGCCTCGGGGAGCCTCTCAGCCCGGGTCCTGTGCTGGGAGGGACTAGGGGCAGCTGCTCCTGCAAAACACGGGGAGACCGCGGTGGTGGCTGCAGTGGAAGGAAAACAGGGAAACTGGACCTTGCTTGTCCGGGGGCGGCTGTCTGCACCCCTCACCCCACCCTGCGAGCAGGCCCCTCTGGCAGCACCCCCCCCCCCCGCCCACTCCAGCTTTTGTTTCGCCTTGTTTTAGGCTTTTATAAAAGCCTTATGTTCTGGGAGAGGGGGACAAAGGAGGATGGGGCATGCTGCCATTCTGACGGCGAGCCTCCTTTCTCACACCGTGTGACCGTCCCGGTGCACGTCACCTCTGGGAGGCCCCCTCTGCCCGTAACAGCCCCGGGGGTCCCGAGCCCGCCGCCTGGGGAGGCCCGCACCTGGCCGGCTCCCTCCGGCGGGGACTCTTATTCTGACAGGCCTCCCGCCTGTCCAGTCCCGGGCCGACCGCCTGCCAAGTTTGTGAGGCCCCAGGCTTTCTTGTGGGAGGACGCTGGGCTGTCTTCATGCTCTTTGGCAATGATTAAAGTGAGGTTAGTACCGAAAACCCTTTCATTTCATTCCCTTATCCTGGCTTTTTCAAACCAGATGGCAACCCTGTATTTTCAGCTGTAATTAATTTAAACTCGGAGGCAACGAGGACTGGGAGAGGCAGAGCTGACTGCTCGGAAGGGACAGCAGTGGCTTTCCTGCCCGCCCCCTCCCCTCACCGGACGCCCGCGTCCCCGTCGGATCCGTGTCACGTACAGTCTCTTCCCAGAGGGGCCTGGGAAGAGAGGGGGCTGTTAAAGGGGCTGCAGCCCGCCTCGCGTTGCACGCAGGCGCGGGAAGGGTTAATGCCCAATGATAATTGTTTCCTTAATGGACTAGAAGTTGCCAAGTTTCAGGTGCCGGCTGACATGTTGTCGCCTGGCGGGGCTGTCACGTGACCGGCGTGGACAACGGTGCCTACTTTGTGTGGCGGAGGATGGGGTGCCTTTTCTTCCTGCTCAGCTTGGCTGCCAGGATTGCCTCCAAAAGTGGGGGATGTTGTAGGTTTAACATTGATTGTTGAGGAAAATTATGAGGGAAATAAAAGCACTTGGCCACAGTTGAAGCCTGGAGGTTTCAGCTCAGCCATTTGACCACTTCCCTCTGTGGAAGTTGTACGGGAGCCCCTCCTCCCTGAGCCGCTTTAGAGCACGGGGTCACTTAGAGAGGTAGAGCCCCTTCACGTGGCCTGGGGACCGCTGCCTTGGTCCCAGCGCTCGGGGACTTGTGCAGTAACTCCCCCAGCAGCCTCCTGGCTGAGGGCAAGATGGAGTGCGCGGGGGCCGCTGGCCTGAGAGCCAGTGTCCAGGAGCCCCCCTCCCGTCCGCCCAGCAGGTCCCGCGGGGTTTGCGTTTCCCTGGGCGGCGTGGGCGAGCTGCAGGCTGAGGCAGATCTGTGGACGGTAATGTGTGCAAAGCACTTTGTAAAACTGGACGCTAATGTTATGCAAATGGCAGTTACTACTCTTATTAACATTAGCCATCCTTGGATGACTTGAAGCAGCTTCTCAAGGCCCAGAGTGCGAAACGAGAACCACAGATATGTGGCTCGTGAGCCTCCCAGATGCTCACTGGCGGTGACGACGCCCCTGACGGCAGTCCCCGCATGTGCCCGAGGTGGCAGGGTTTGGGGAGCTGGGTGGCGGGTGGGCTTTATGTGGTTTGCTGTCAAAAACCCGCATTATTCGTCAGCGTGTCTCTTGTGAGCCCCCTGGACTGTGTCTACAGAGACATGGGTTTGTGTTGTTGTTGTTTCCAGACCTGTCCTTCTGGAAACCTTTTATTTGTCTCTAGTAGAGAGGGACAAAGATGTAGGGAAAACATCCTCTGGTCCCGACCTCCTTTCCTACCAACTGGTGATTGATCAAAGCTTCTAAGGACTGAACGTTAAATGCAGAATTACCATATGACACAGGAAATCCACTTGGCGGGTGTAGTCCCCAAAGAAGGGAAAGCGGGGATCTCAGATTGGTGTGGGTACAGCCGTGTTCACGGCAGCATGACTCAACAGCCAGGAGGTGGAGGCAGTCCAGTGTCCGCCAGCGGATGAAGAAATACGTAGGTGACCCTACCGTGGCATGTTCCTCAGCCTTAAAGCAGGAACATGGTTCTGGCACCTGCACAGCATGGATGGACCTTGAAGACATTAATGCTGAGTGAAATGTGCTAGTTGCCAAAGGATAGAGAGTGTATGCTTCCTCTCCTGTGAGGGGCCAGAGTCAGGGACAGCAGCAGCGTGGATGCTGGGTGCCAGGTGACGGGGGCGGGAGAATGGGGGGTTCATGAGGACGGGTACCGAGTTCCCCATCCTGGACATGAGTGGCAGGGGAGGTTACACAACGGTGTGAATGTATGTAATGCCATTGAATTTTATACTTTATAATGACTGAAACGGTGAATTTCACGTGTATTTTACCACAGTAAAGAAAAAAAGGATTAAAAAACCTTCTAAAGACTAATGATTCACTCCAGTTCAGTTGAATAAACAATAATGAACGTATTCTGTGTCCAGCCTTTGTATTCCGTGCTCAGCTGGTGCGTAGAGAGGGGTGAGCAGCTCGGAGGACAGAAGCTCAGCTCCCAGGACAGGATGTTTGGGGCCTAATGATGGAGAGTGGCCGTGTGAAGGCGCGGGGTGGGGGCGACATTTAATTTAAAGGGCAGTCAGGATTCACCATCTCCTTTTGCTGTGGGAGGTCCTTGTGTGAAGGAAAGGGGTGTGTTACTTGGGGTACTGGGGGATGGCAGCCCGGGTTCTCTGAAGACATTTTCAGAATCATCAACTCAGGAGTTGGGGGTGGGGGATCCCACTTCAGTGTTGGACAGAGTTGTCAGGTTCCCCTGGTCCCTTTCCCAAGTTGCAGGTTTTGGATTAAATGTGATTTTAATGGCCAGATGTGAGTGATGTTACAGTACTGCTAAGCAGGCAATTTAGGGAAGTTCAGTTCTGAATTTTCCGAAGAGTGTGAAATTGAGAATATTCGTAATGAAATGCATTTTTACAATGTGGAAACTGAAGTAAGCCATCAGTATTGGCCTTTTCAGGGCCCTGGGGAATTCTGCTTTAATAAGAGATTGATTGGCAATCTGCCCATCAGTTGTCAATACAGTAGCAGCCTTTCTAAGCACCTGTGAGTCCTCGAAATAATCTTTAAGAAATTCAAATACTGGAGGAGTGCTTAGCATGCACGAGGTCCTGGGTTCAACCCCCAGTATGTATGTATGTATACATAAATTAATTAATTAAGCTGCCCCCAATTTTTAAAAAAATTAACAAAATTTTTTAAAAAGTTAAAAAGAAATTCATATCTTGTTCCTATCCTGCAATCTAAGTAAAGAAAAAATAGCTTAGCTAACCTTTTCCTCTAGTTTTCAGAAAGGTGGAGTTCAGCTCAGACCACCTGGATGCTTGAAGGAAATGAGTGCACCGAATGCTTGGAATTAATGCACTACATAATTTGCTCATAGATAGAAAGTCCTTTAATAATCAAAGTTTTATAATTAATAATTCAGTAACTAGTAATTTAGTAGTAATAGTCATGTTTTTTAAAGAGCATTTGGTAGATGCCTCAATATCTTTTATTAAATGAATATTTAACCACATTACATACTCAGTACTTAAAGTCTCAAACTTTTTCGTATAGTTACATAATAATTCAGGAATTTAATTTTGTGTGCAAAGTTTCTGATGTCAGACAGGGTAGGTGGGTGGTTTTAAAAGAAAAACTGGCTGTTGAATTTTGTTTAGTGTTGAATGTATTGAAGTAGAGCTATCCTCTAATAGCAAGAAGTCCAGGGAATAGTTTGGAACTGGTTACCGCCACCATCGGGGCTGGACTTGGGAAGGCTGCTGGCACTCAGGCGTGGGAATGCAGTTGTGTGTGGGGGTGGGTGAGGGGCGGGGGGGCTGCAACAAACCAAATAGCAGAGGAAGGACATGTGATCGTCTGTCTTTGACAGGCACGCACAGATGATGCAGACGTGAGCAGTAGCTCATTTATCTCTAGCCAATCCAGGGTCACAAATATAGCTGAATTAAAAAAAAAAAAGAGGAGGAGGATTGGGAAACGGCTGCTGCAGGAACTGGTGCGTCTTGGGTCGTGTTGTTACAAGCGTGGTTGCAGGTGACTGCAGGTGTTGGGATCATCCTGATTTCGAGATTCTATTCTGTTGACCTCGGTTCTTACTTTTTAGACCTTTTTCGGCACTGATTTTTGGTTCAGCATATGCTCCCGTAAATTGAAGGGAATTACCTTTGTTTGTGTGCTCCGTTCTTCAGCTCTCCTCTGGCGTATTCTGTCTAGTTCTGGGTACCACCCTTAGAGATGAATGTTCATTTGGAGAGCATGTGGAGGCGGGGGGCAGGATGGCAGGGGGTCTGGTATTAGGGTCATGGGAGGGGTTCTTGTTTGGTGAAGAGAGTTCTGCGCATGGCAGGGCTGACTCAGAAGCAGCTTTGCAGTAGTTGGAAGAAGTTGACTTCACTGAGTTTTTCCCAAGAGCAGCTCTGTGACCACGGAGTCGTACTGGAAGGTAGATTTCATTCATTGAAGCTTCCCAGTAGTTGAGTGTATTAGCTGGAGAGGGAGGGGGAAGGACCCGACCCTGGGACTGTCTGAGAAGTGGCCTCGTGGCCGTGACTTTGAGGATGCTGCTGTCCCCTGTCCTTCACGGCCATCGCACTGCTAGGTCTCTTCTTTTGAGTAGGGCTGCTGCAGACACTGTCCATTTAAAATCTGCTCCCGACAGTCTCCATGGTCAGATCTCTGAGCTTCACCCCTTTCTCTGTCCCTGGCCCATAAGGCTAGCCAAGCCAACAGTGCCACGCTGGTACCTCTGCTGCTGTGCCGGGGGACAGATGGCCTGCCCCAGGTGTGTGTCCACGGCGAACTGTAGCTGAGTTACAGAAGGAAGGACATGATGTTTCTATCCCTTCTCTGATGCCAAAAATATGGTTGTATTTTTTTTAATATCATTCATTGAGAGAATACATAATGACAAGAATGACTTACAAATGTTGGAGCATTCGGAATTTTAAATGAATTTGTATTTTATTAGTCTCAGTGACATCTCCATTCATTTGAAATGAGTGAGTGTACACATGCGGCCCATGTGATGCATTGAGGCTAGAAGCAGAGCTGATCTGCACGTGGCCCCGCAGGTGGACGCCCATCGCACTAGTGGCCACAGTTGCCAACCTGGGCTAGGGGGCCGGATGGAGTGCTTTACCCTTCACATTCTCAGGTTTGACCTATTTTTTTTAGAACTTTAGTTTTTCCTCTTGTCTCAGCTGACCGTCTGCAGACCGTCATAGTCAAAGAAGACTCGGTCCGTATTTACATAGGGTTGAGCTATTCAGGAGTGTGGCTCCATCTCGCCCTGTGCAGGCGGGGCTCCGGAAGCCCTCACTGTCCCCAGCCAAGAGGATCCCCGCGCTGGCCCTGCTCTCCGAGCCGGTGCGCAGCATCCGGCAACTCTAGCTGTCGGCCTGGGGTCCCACCCGG